CACGACTGAGACAATTCACCTTCAGCAAGACAATAAATTAAAACAAGGCCAAATGTACACTGGAGTTGCTGACCAAGACGACATTGAATGTTCCTGAGTGGCCTAGTTACAGTAGTGACTTAAATTGGCTTGAAAATCTATCGCAAGACTTGAAAATTGCTGTCTAGCAATGATCAACAACCAAGTTGACAGAGCTTGAATATTTTTATTTTTTTACTAAGCCAAGATAATTATTTGTACAGTATGTCGGTGCAATTTTGTACAATCCAGGTGTGCAAAGTTTACCCAGAAAGACTCACAGCTATAATCGCTGCCAAAGGTGATTCCATCACTAGCCGGGTAGGCTACTCAACTCTGCACCAATGAGGTTGCTGCCCAATATACATAGACATGGAATCACTGGCCACTTTAAATAATGGAACACTAGTCACTTTAAAAATGTTTACATACGGCTTTACTCATCTCATATGTATATACTGTATTATATTCTACTGTATTCAGTCAATGCCACTCCGACATTGCTCGTCCTAATATTTATATATTTCTAATTCCATATCTATATATTTCTAATTCCATTATTTTACTTTTAAATGTGTGTATTGTTGTGAATTGTTAGATACTACTGCACTGTTGGAGCTAGGAACACAAGCATTTCTCTACACCTGCAATAACATCTGCTAAATATGTGTATGTGACCAATAAAATGTGATTTGATTTGAACATATATTGACTGAGGGAGTTGAATACTTATCTAATCAAGATATATTATTGTTTTATTTTTCATAAAAAGAAATAATCCACTTTGACAGAGTATTTTGTGTAGATCGTTGACAAAAAATTACAAATAAATCAAATTTAATCCCACTTTGTAACACAACAAAATTTGGAAAAGGTCAATGGGTGTGAATACTTTCTGAAAGCATTGTACTTTATGAGGGTAGTACATAATATTATGCGTAGTCTAGAAAAAGCCATCAGAGGCCGTCAGAGTTTAAGAGGTTAAACCCTTTGAAAAATACAACCCCCACTAAAATATTTAATAATGAGTAGGCTTCCTCAAATCATTGTCATCTTATATTGTACATTTTCCTAGAATTTGTTTTATTTTTTCAAATGACATTAAAAAAGTAATGCTAAAAGAAAACAAAACGATGGGCAAACGAAGAATAAACAAATGTGACATTTTCAAAAAGCCATAGGCTACTTCTTTACATATGTGAGCAATGGGAGCATATTATTCTGTGCATGCAGGACAATGACACACCGGGCTGAGATTTCATTTTCACAACATCCCCCACCAAACTATGAATATATATACAGTATATTCCTACAAAGAAATCCCAATTCTATTGGACTACATAGAAATTCCACCATATTCCCAATAATATAGGCCTATTTCACTCACTCTGAAGTACAATAACCATATTCAAAGCCAGAAAAAGAGCAGAAATGAAAAATAGCCTTTAGGAATGTTGCTAAAATGTTATCCAAGCCACAGTAAAGCAGGTAGGCGGGTTGAAGGGTGAAGAAGCATGATACAGCAGTACTTTACCTGGCAGATTACCCTCATGCTTCTAGTAGGCTTCAAGGAGAGAGAGCAGATAGATTGAACAGACAGGAGCAAGCAGAGCATAGGCCAGAGGACACTTTGTATGCAGAACATACCCACGCAGAGAAACATCTGCACGCACGCACACACACACACACAAACACATGCGCACGGCCGCAAGCAATCACTCACTTACACACATGCTGTGCACACACACACAGACAGTAATAAAGGTGTGAGGGGCTTTCCAACCTATTCAGACTGGAAATGAAGACCAGCATTCTCTCTACTAGAAAATGCAATGAGACTAAAAAAGACAGGCAATTCTAGAACCTGTTAATGCACTGCACACACACGCACACACACACACAGAGAGATAGAAAGACAGCACACACCATAAGGGATTGCCATGAGCAGTCACAGTCAGAAACTGCGACTTATAATTAGTAAATATTATATTGTATGAGTACTGATATTTCAATGGCTGTTGTTCTGTATAGAGATACTATAGTATGAGTGAGAAAGGAAGGCGGGGAGAGAAGTGTGTGTGTCTCACCAAGGACACAATGTCCAGTAGGAAGTCCACCAACTGACAGAACTCCACCAATGAGAGCCCTGAGGACTCTGTGCTCCCAGCACTCCCTGGTCCATTCTTTGCCTTCCTGCAAGATGTACAGTGAGCCCGTTTACTTTAAACTCAGCTCTCCCAAACTTGTCCAATAAGAAATGCTTAACTTTACTTTCTGTTGCAAAACATTTTGCTACGGTGTGGCCTAATGAACACGGCCCAGGCTCTATCTCGCTATCTTACCATGTCAGCATACACACATGGAGCAGCACATACACACAGACCTGCAGCAGTCCTCGAACCAGCGAGCGATGTAGTCCCACATGTAGTACGGCTCAAAAGAGTTGAACAGGAGATTGGCCGTTTTGATAAGCTCTGCAGTTTTCTTGTTCTCTCGCAGTTTGCTGAGGGAAACAATCAATACGACCCTTAGCTTACAATGTTTATTAAAGCTTTGGCTTTTTTCATGTGTTTAGTGTTACACACACACACACACACACACAAGCTGGCCAACCTGCTGAGATGAGCATGGTCCTTGCTGAATGGGTTGTGGTTCTGCAGGTCCAGCTCTGCTCGGCACTGTGTGTATAATGTCCTGAACACCTCGATCAGAACATCCTCCAGAATGGCTGGCCCTGGAACACACAGGATTACAAATCAATCACTGATCATGTCCATTTACAAATGTATCTAGAACAGTCAAACGGAAATAGGGTCATTAGGCACCAAATGGAAGGAAATGGACTGAAACGGGGAGGGACTACCTGGAGTTGTCAAATAAGAAGCGCTAATTTTAGTTGTCAGCTGTGAAAAGTTTTGCTATGGTGTTCCCTACTGAACACGGCCCAGTAGTGATATGTGGGTCACTATGACCAAAATGCTGTGTGTGTTCTATTCAGTGTGTAACAGTGACATGAATGATATGTGTTGCATTGGTCTGATGGGTGTAGTAATATACCGTACCGAGTTCAGGTTTGTCCAGCAGACTGATGAGAATGCGGAAGGGCTTGAGGTCATGCATCAGGACGCTCTCCTCCTCACCGCCTCGGGCCTTCCCTTGCAGGATCCCCACCATTGCCTGCACACACACACACGGTCAAAACTTCTGGATCAAACCGCATTCAAAAAATACAGAACGACCAAAGCAACTCCCGAGACAGACGGCAGCACAAGGACTCAGCTGGTTAGCTATATATATTACATTTTTGGGTTAGGGCCGGGGGATATTTTCCATGGCAAGTCTTCTTTTTGTCCTTCAGTGTGTGTGTGTGTGTTTCATGCCTCGTCTAACAGAAGTGGATGGGGCCGGGGAACAGACGGTCCCTGCAGTAGCCCCGTTTCCCAGTGGGGGGAGACGCAACAAGTGTCCATGAACAGATGGCAGATGAACAAATTAAAGCCCCTGTCTGTCTGTCTGTCTGTCCCAACCCCTGGAGTACCAGGACACATCACATGTAGGCCCCACCATCATAAGGGCCAATGCTGTTGGGGCGTGACACTGCATTACAAGGGGGAATAGTGTGTGATCGTGGCCCAGGCATGGAGCAGATTTTGGGAGAGCTTCAAAGGGAAGGCCCCTGGGATTAGGAGGGGTGTGGAGGTAGGGGGCTACAGGCATTACAGGCAGACCCCTAAGGGTGTATGTGTGTGTGTGTGGGGGGGGGGAGCAATAGGAGTCCAAATTTCACCTGCTGAAAAATGTAAGGCATTTACCTTGCTCCCTTTCAGAAGATCCACTCAAACTTTGAGGTCTTTGAAAATTGTAATTTATGCAAATAGCTTTGGAACAGTTTGTCTTGTAAGTGTGTGTTAGCAATCTGTATTTGAAGGCTGTGCAAATGCACTTGGAACAGCTTGTCTTGTTTTTGTACGCATGTTTGTTTATAAAAGGCCATAAAACACCTGTATATGGCCTGTGTGTGTGTGTGTGTGTGTGTAGGTGGGTGGGTGTGTGGGTGGGTGTGTGTGCGTACAAGGCGTACCTGGACCAGCATGTCCTTGGAGTAGGTATTGAAATAGTGGGTAGCGTGGTCCTCAGGGTTGCTCTGTCGAGAGCTGCGAGGGCCTGTCCTCACACCATTGTTGTCAAAGCCTAGGAGCACAGTACACACACACGCACACAATATGACGAAAGACAAGGGAGAAGAGGGTGGGGTGAGATTGAGTTACCAGTAACTTAGCAAACAAACAAGCTTTTCTGAGTGTAAAAACATGAGCCCTGATCAGCAGACACTTACCAGCATTTTTATCCACAGTGAGTAAGACACAAATAAGAGAAAACAAAGTAGGGAAATAAGCACTGGGAAATGTGGCTACAAGACATGTTACTGCACAAGACATATATGGCCAGATGATCATTCCAACAGGCAAAGTCCAACAACTCAACTATACTAAGTTGTACAGAACGTATGCAGTGGTATGTATGCGTGCATGTGCACCAGGGTTTTCATTATGAAAATGTGGCACCGGACATTTGACCGGCAGCACTTTAATTCACCGGAAATGTTCCCGACCCATATGCATTGGGTGCGTGACCTGATTAGGGCTTCCACCCACGGTGATCAGAATGACAGAAATCACATTTAGATTATGGTAATTCATATTAAAAGAACATGCAAGACGAGGACGCAACGATGTGCGGTCCATCTTACCAAATTCTGATGTGCACTTCGAAGATTTTTTTTTGGGGGGGAGGGGTGGATTAGCTTAATATTGCAGATAGATTGTATCTTCTATCAATGTAATTGTCTGCATCACTTCCAATCCCACATGTTTTTTATATATATACTCCCATTTATTACTTTTCAACCCCGCCATCCTTTCCCTACTTGGAGTAAATTAGTGAACAACAATGCCCAGGCCTCTACTTCCGGTCTATACTTACCATCTACACCTTATGGACACAGTTAATTTTACAATAATTATTTCTAACTGTGCTCTTTCTCAAAAGCTCCCAACATACAACCTATATACTTATTATGGACACAGTATGCTTACATTATTAGCTATCTTTGTTATTATTTGTTGTTATTTGTTATTAGTCCCATCCTTCAACTCTATTCAATACCTCCCATCTATCTCTTAACACCATCCATTTAGGATTTCTATTTGCCATATATATTTCAACTGTACTGTGATGTTTTACAAAAGTTCTGAACCTTTCTATTCTCATTGCTTCTACAGATTGTGAATTAAAAATAAACATTTTTGCTAAAAGTATTATTATATTATTGATCGATTTACTATTACTTTTCAGATCACCCAGTAATGCTATCTGCAAGGTTAGCTCCAGGTAAATATTGCAATCCTTTAGCCATTCCTGGACCTGTGTCCAAAAACAAGCTACAAATGATGACAGGACCAAAACAAATGATCTAATGATTCTGTCTCTTCACAGCAAAATCTGCAGAGCTGGGAAGATTGTATCCCCCATATAAATAACATTCTATTGGTAGCAAGAATTTTATATAATAATTTAAATTGAAAGATTCTAATTTTTGAATCTGGTGTCGTTTTGCGTGTCAGTTCATAAACACTATGCCATGGGATCGGTACGTCAAAAATCTCTTCCCAACTATTTTGCAATCTATATGGGACGGCTGTCAATCCTTTGGTCCTTAAGTAAAACTGATATACTTGTATATTTATCACAGTTTTCCTTAACCAATTATGTTCTTTAATGCAAGGCCGACAGACAAGTTCCTTACTTTCTCCACCTTCCACTTTCCTCTTCCATTTTTGCGGTAAGGCTGCAATTATTTGGTTGTAATTTTGGGTTGAGCAGACATTTCCATATGTTTTTGTTAGCTGCATGTGCGACATAACTCCACCAGTCCTACCGATGATATCATTTACGAAGATTATACCTTTTTTAAACATTCTGTCAAAAAATATAGTTTTTTTGTCAATTAGTATATTTGAATTTAACCACAATATTTGTTGCATTATTTGTTCTGTCGTTTCTGGAGGATTAAATTGAAATTGCAACCAACTTTCTATGGCTTGTTTTAGAAATAGTGATATTTGGGAGATTATTTCCTTTTCAAATAACTGAAAGTGAGTGGTTGTAATCTGAATAAAGGGAAAAAGGCCATTCTTGAACATTGGGTGAGACAATTTGCTAGAGAACCGGTTCGGATTTAAGTATAACTTTTGTATGACTGAAGCTTTTAGTGATAGGTCTAATGCTTTAATATTTAATAATTTCTGTCCTCCGAATTCATATTCATTATATAAATATGCCCTTTTAATATTGTCTGGCTTGCCGTTCCAAATAAAATTGAATATTTTTTTCTCATATAATTTAAAAAACTGTTCGCTAGGCGTAGGCAAGACCATAAGCAAATAGGTAAACTGGGATAATACTAAAGAGTTAATCAGGGTGATTTTTCCACAAATTGACAGGTATTTTCCTTTCCATGGTAGTAAGATCTTATCTATTTTTGCTAACTTTCTATTAAAATGTATTGAAGTGAGATCATTTATTTCCTTTGGGATATGTATTCCGAGTATATCCACATCACCATCAGACCATTTTATTGGTAAACTACATGGTAATGTAAAAATTGTATTTTTTAGTGATCCAATACGTAATATAGTACATTTGTCATAATTTGGTTGTAATCCAGAGAGGTTAGAAAATGTATCTAGATCCTCTATGAGGCTGTGGAGGGACACTTCGAAGATGTTAGAATAACTGTCCATATTTTCCTCAGCCAACAAGATGAGCAAGTAACGAACAGCAAAATCACTAGCCTATGTCAATCTACTATCCCCCATAGTAGAAAAGTTTACCTATTCTACTGGTCATATTGTCATTCTGTGCGAGAAAGAAATAGCCTATTCCAAACAGACTCTGGGACAGTTGTGGGACGATAGATCCTAAATTCAAACAACCAATAGGCCTAGGCTACATAAAAAAAGAATGTTTAGCTTAAAATGTTGATAAACTATTTATTCACATTAAAAGCGCATGGATTCAGAGGGTGAATGGGCAAGAAAATATTTAAGTGCCTTTGAACAGGGTATGGTGGTAGGTGCCGGGTATACTGCTTTGTGTCAAGAACTGCAACGCTGCTAGGTTTTTCACGCTCAACAGTTTCCTGTGTGTATCAAGAATGGTCCACCACCCAAAGGACATCCAGCCAACTTGACACAACTCATTGCAAATTGGTGTGTGACGCGCTGATGAAGCCTGACTTCCGCTGCCTTTGCCTTTGCTGTTTGAGATGCTGTAGCAGCAACTATCACGCTGTCCGACATATTTTCCGCTAAAAGGCTCTGTATCTGTACGCACGTGATAACATTTTACATTTTAGTCATTTAGCAGACACTCTTATCCAGAGCGACTTACAGTTAGAGTGCATACATACAACCCTGCCGTTGCAAGCGCCATGCTCTACCTACTGAGCTACAGGAGGCCTATAAATAGGATACATAACAAATATACTGTACACACGCGCCAATTTAATTCAACTAAATTATACAAATTAACTTATAGACCGATAAGCATGACCAGTCAAATGTATTTACATAGACTGGTATTTCATCAACTTATAGGCTAAAAAGCATTATTTCGGAATAGTATTTATTCTTCTTCTCCCGGACAATTGGCCAGCGCCAATTTTATTTATTGAATTTTCAAAAAAATGTAAGGCCAAAAGCCGGCTATTACCGGCTAACGGAAACCATTGTGTGTGCGTGAGTGTGTCTTTTACCCAGCAGCCAGGCGTACAGTCTGCGGTTGAGTGACATGTCCCTCCTCAGAACCACGTGCAGCGCTGCAGAGAGGATCCGAATCATATCTGGACGGGTGGCCTGGAAGAGCAACACACACCACAAAAATAAGGAAATAATAGCAGAGGTCAGATGAGTTCTGAATTGGAAGAAAGGATGTCGTAATTTGGGCTGTTTGGGCTCTGAGGCACATTGTGCTTCGATGATTGAATGGAGAGGTGAACGGCCAAACAAGCATCCACTGTGAGTCACTGCATGCTCTCTCTCCCTCTCACTGGATGTCGGATAGCCTCATCATCAAGAATGGCCAGTTCCCAACAGTGCTGTGACTGCTGTCTTGTGTGCTGAGCAGTGCTGACAGAGCAGTCCAGATCTGTCCTTACCTGACTCATGTGAAATGGGAAGCAGAAGAGGATCAGGTCCAGGGTGCTCCTCTGGACCAGAACACTTGAGTCCTGCACCGACGTGCTGACTGCCTCCACCTGCAGGGTGCGACACAACACACAGGGTTAAATCAAGCCCCATTTACATCTATCTAATGTACTGCAAATAAATGAGTGAATATGTAGAACTTCAGAAGAACCAGACTAGGTTGACTCCCATTGCATTTTCTGCTTGTTCTTCCCGACCAGGAAAAAAGTAGGGCCCAGAGTTTTTTTCTGAGCAGGTCATTTGATTAGGAAATTCTCCTGGCCCTACTCAATACAAGTTCACATCAAATCAAATGTTGTTTGTCACATGCACCGAATACAACGGGCATTGACCTTACAGTGAAATGCTTACTTACAAACCCTTAACCAACAATGCAGTTAAGAAAAATAAGTGGTAAGTAAAAAATTAAAAATTAAAATAATTGAAGAGCAGCAGTAAAATAACAGTAGCGAGGCTATATACAGAGGGTACTGAGAAATGACTTCATTTCTCAGTGAGCATCATGAATACACTACTAATGATTTCTAAATATTCCACAAACACAGGCACTACAAGCTCTACTTGGTGTGTGTGTGTATCTTGGGGGGGGGGGGGGGGGGGGGGGGGGTCGGGATAAAGGAAAAAGACAAGTGTCTCTGAAAATGATTATTATTTTTGTGTACCATGAGCTCGATGTCGCTGCCCATGACGTAGAGCTGGTCCTCCATGGAGAGTTTGCGGTTGAGGTGCAGCAGGACAAAGGTGACACCGGGCAGGCGCACGGCGGGGCTGGTCAGGATGCTGCCCCACAGGGCGCTGTAGAAGGCCGACTGCTCCACCGCCGCAGCCACCTTCTCCAGCAACGTGTTGGTCCTGGACAGGATTGCATTGAATTGAAATAACTGAATTTGGGTTGCAAATCAAACATACATTAACAAGACAATTGAATCCCAGATAATTGAATTATTATTAAGGTTGATTCTGAATGAATATATATATATTTTTTTACATTTGTTCCGTAATTAGCATTTCACTTCATTCAATTACATCCATTTCTCTTTTCCAGCCCTCCATCTCTTACCTGTCATAGTATTCAGAGCCTTCCTCCAGGCCCGGTAGGACCCCAGTCAGCAGCCCCTGCAGGCCAGGTTTGAGGGTCTTTCCCAGGGGCAGGTAGTATGTCTCATACAAGCACAACAGCACCGGCTTCACAGACATAGCAGCATTGGAGAGTAGAGGGAACAACCCAGAGCTGAAACAGGCAGGGGACAGGTGTTAGGCAGTGGGGTAATAGAGTAAAGGGGAAATTATAGGGTAGATCAGTCAACTGAAGAAAAATAACTACTGAATGAAATCCACATGCATTATTTTCATTCTCTTACTAGTTCAAAGGAGATGGATTGAGGGTAAGGCCCTGCGATAGACTAGCGTTCTGTCCAGGGGGTGTACTTGTACATCAAGCTGCCTCACGCTACAGAAACAGGAGAAACAGGCTCCTGCCCTATGGACCATTCTGGCTTGGGCAAGGCTTATTTACTTACTTTACTAGTTCAAATTCAGTTTATGATATGTTCTCCAGTTACAATAAAGCTACTGTACTTCTCTACTACTACTGTCCTTAACAAGTGCTGACATCCAGTAGCCTAATTGGTACCTGTAGAGGAAGAGATCTTTGGCCAGCCTCTTGGGCCCTATGATCTTGAAGATGATCTCGTAGGTCTCCAGGGCCTTGCGGTGCACCCCGCTGGGCAGAGCCGGGTGGAGGCATTGGGCCAGACGCTTGCCTATCGTCAGCTTCTTGGGCACCACCTGGTACTTGGCATTGCTTTGCAATACCTGAGAGATGAGAAACAGATGCAAACATCAGACGTGGGGTACCAGTGGCCAATCTTTCCACAACAGCTGGCGTAAAAAAAATAATGAAGCATTTAGCACATTAGACTATGCAGATCCGGGTTTAATTGCTGATGTGGTCATTGTGTATCCATTCCAAACCAAAATGTACATATGTGAAGAATCCAAACAGGTAAATGTTTGTGGTCGTTACCTTGTTGAGTTTGCCCAGTGCAGAGATGAGGTCTGCCCATTCGCTTGAGTACTCAAAGTTCTTGAGGGCCTTGTCCACCGCCGCCACATAATTCCTGTACTTGGAGTCACTGAGCAGCTCCACTTCCTCTGCATTCATCCTCTTGGGTGGTTATTCTGCTACTGGCCAAGACCAGGCTCACATACACACATCACACCTGGAGTGAATGAGTCAGAGAGAGAAGATCATTACTCTGAGTCATAGCGAGTGATTAATCAGAACGTTACGTATGGAAGCTTCATTAGCCTCAAACTACATGTGTCCTTAATGTGCAGGCCAGTGGCAGTCAATCTGTCAGAATAAGAGTTACAGAGGAGAAGCACATGGGTTGATGATAGTGCACAGATGGAGCTGTTCATTGACCAGTCATATACAAATGACAAAGTCTGACAGGGTACAAGACATGTATAAGGTTAACATTGGTTCGTGAAGATAGTGCTGAATCATGAGTGTCTTCTTCCAGACATGTCTTAATGAAACAGATGCCTTAGGGATGGGAGAGGTAGATAGATGGGCTTCAACAGACAATAGAGAAGTCAAGTGCGCACAATTGGCTCAGCGTCGTCCAGGGTAGGGGAGGGAATGGCTGGCAGGGAGGTAGCTCAGTTGGTAGAGCATGGCGTTTGCAACGCCAGGGTTGTGGGTTCGATTCCCACGGGGGGCCAGTATAAAAAAATACAAATAAAAAAACAATTCTAAAAAATTATAATGTATGCACTCACTAACTGTAAGTCGCTCTGGATAAGAGCGTCTGCTAAATGACTAAAATGTAAATGTAAATGTAAGTGAACAGAGAGAGATGCATGTGAGAGAGTTGGGTTCCAAATACAACCAAATCACATTTTATTTGTCACATGCTTCGTAGACAGAGAAATGTTTACTTATGGGTTCATTTCCAACAACGCAGAGTTAAAGATAATATATAAATATATTTTATGACACCCTGCCCAGTGCCTCACAATGAAATGTGTTCTTCGTGGGGTGGGCGACACAGGAAACTAAATGACAGCCCTGGTCTTTGTAGTTGCAGCTATATGGATCTGTAGCTAGTTGTCAAGAGTTAAAATAATTGGCAAGAGACAGCCTAATTTCATAATGACACCAACTAGATATATTGACAAGAACAATATAATGACATGGCATGCAACTTATAAAACGCAAGATTAACCTAGCTAGCAAGTCACCTATTTAAAAAGATGTAGACAAGAAAACAAGTATTATTTCTAAGGCTAACGACGTTATACACTTATCAAGGCAGCTGACATAACTCGCAACCAAACTTGAATGACATCACCTATCGTAGTAAGTAATGCGTGGTCAACAATACCGAAACCTGCCCCTCCATGCAAATATGCTACCTAGGTAGCTAACTCAGTCAAGGCAAGGATACAACACCCAGATAGCTACAATAGTACCAGGTAACTTAGTTAGCTGTAACGTTACAGCCTGCAACGACTAGCTTTGGGACACAGCATCACACAGACTGACTAACTCCCGATGTTTTGTCCCAAAGCTAGCAACGACTGTCTGTTATTCCTCGGCCACGACAATCGACGATAAATGCTTACCGTTAGCAGGATATTTGTAAAACACTGGTCACTAAATTATTTATCCAGCTTGACGAATTAAAAAAATTCACAGTCTGCGCTAATTGGCACAGTGGGAAATGTATCCTTGCTAGTTATGTGATAGCAATGTCCGTATTGATGTTGCTGCTGCCGGGCCCCCGGCGTCGACTCGGTTAAACCGTGGCACTTGTCAAGTAAGCATACAACGCTCACGGGTTAGACAATAAAGTGTATCCTACATATTCTAAGATAGCGAGGTCTTTGCCTTTATGATTGAATAACAAACCACCATCAAAACCACACCTGCCCTACGTTCAGGTTCACAAAGCCCAAACAATCCCTTCTACAGCTATCCCAGTCTGCATTGCAGTTTGCTGCACGTCTACTTCATTTGTCCGACTGCAATCCATCCTAGCGGTAGAAAGGTTCCGGCTCGTGTTGATAGCTAGTGAAATATATGCCACAGAAGTCTTCACTGTTTAAATTGATACGCTGATGATTTTTACTGCTACATTTACTTTAATTCACCATACTGACAATCAGATGTACGAAGCCATTTCGCGTTGAACTCAGTTAGAGCAAAAACTAAACTGCACGTGTCTTTGTTGTTAAATAAGGTTAGCCAGCTAGCCATTGCTAGCACCAGAAGTAAATAGAAGAAAAACACAGACACACCATGGGAGAGAATGTCAAAGGAGCTGGGGTGTTTCTCGAACTAAGGAAGCGGTTGCAAAGTGGTCTTCTTGTTCTCAGGTAATTATTTGCGAAATAGTTAGCAACCGCTAGCTCGGTATCTAGTGTTGGCTAATGTCAACTAGTTGTGCTAGCAGGACAGGACAGGACAGAGGGTGCGTTCCTGCCGTTTACACATTCTGCGCATAACAGACGCAGAAAGGTATTTAACACCTCAAGGACCACACACTTATGTGACGTTTAGCCTACAGTTAGAACATCAACTCCTGGCCATACATCAGGGACTTCACCAGGACCTGGCTTTCAGGGCTTTAACCCCGAATCGTGTAACTCACGAAGTCATCCAACTGTTATAATCAGGGGTGTAGTGCTGTTGGTGCGCAGTGTAGCGACGCTCCGCCACTTTCTTATGCTATGGCTACGTTTAACTCCATCTGCTAGAAAATTCGATTAACACAGTAGTTAGGCCGGTTAGCCACCCTTACATCATTCAATAATCGAAATGCATTTTCCCGTTGGCATGCATGAAGGTCTCACATGTTTTTATTTTTTGTTTGTATTTATTTAACTAGGCAAGTCAGTTAAGAACAAATCCTTATTTACAATGACGGCCTACCCCGGGCAAACCCTAACCTGGACGACGCTGGGCCAGTTGTGCGCCACGCTATGGGACTCCCAATCACCGCTGGTTGTGAAACAGCCTGGAAACGAACCAGGGTCTGTAGTGATGCAGTGCCGTAGACCGCTGCGCCACTCGGGAGCTATGTAAAACGTGAATAATTATAATTGACGATTGACAGTGATGATGTCCTAATTTGGTGTTTTAGGATTTAAAAAATAGAACATTTTCCTTGAGCCACTTACAGTATGTGTAGGCTAGGCAATCGTGCAATTTGGATGATGCATTGTATATTCTAAAATGATTTTATACAATAGGCTTCATGTCGGTACCAACTTTCATTCAGAAAAGATGACAATAATAATAATAAATTGTACTCTGGTAGGCAACCTACAAAAAATAGCACTACACCACTGGTTAAATGTGGTCAACTGATAATACCAGCACCGTTTTGATTGAGACAGCGTCATTGCGCTGTTTTGAGACACTCATGGGAACTCATCTTGATAAATCAATCAATGTCAGATGTTTGTTTTCAGTGAATCTCTGTTTGGATGTTTGGTTACAATTAGGTTGGGAAATATTAGCTAAATTGAGGTGAGTGCTCATGATCTTTAGTCTAGCAATTGAAAGCAATTCAGATCTTCTCTACACACACACACACACATTAGGCCTATAGCCTATCTGATGAGCTCCTCTGATGTTTTCCTGAACTTTCCAATACTTTTCTGATGCATTTCAGTCACATAGCCTACTGATGCAAATACACATTTGTGCACTTTTCCTATAGGCTAGTTAAGTCATTTGACATATTTTCTTATTGGTTAAAAAGGTCATAAGGCCTACATCGTTTCAATAACAATATAGCTGGAACCACTATTGGCTTCATTGACTTACTGCATTTATTCTCTTGTAATTATAGGCTACTTGCTGATATATTATTGTAACAGTAGGCCTACCTACACAATAACCTCATACAGGGTTATTGAGCACAATCCATTTAATTAATAATAATAAGTGTTGATTATTTGGCCTTGGGGAGAGCACAGCGCATGGAAGAAAACATAGCAGTGCTGGAAGTGCTGCAGATACATTGAAATGTGCCAAATTATATAATTACTCTTGTCTCTCCAGAAATAAATGAAATCATTGAAAATACTAGACCAGAGAGCATAATTGATCCACCCATGATCTATATCTAATTTATTTATTTATTTATTGTTATGCTGTAGATTGTGTTTTGTCACATTATGAGCGCATAGGCCTAGGCTCCAGTCGGGAATCCCACAATTGGCAGCCCGCGCGGCAAATATCAAACCGCTGATTGTTGAGTTGTGGCTGTCAATGAACAGCAGTTTATAGGTATTTCGCAATATTTCAAAATACAATTGCGGGAAAAATCTATTTGTATAGGTGAGTGCCACCGGAAAGTTGGTGGACTATAATTTCCTCATATTGTAGGTCTAACATCTGTGTATCCTCTCTTTTCATTGGCCTATGCTATTGGTTGCGTTTAAGACATGGGTAGTTCGTTTTTATTGTAATGTCTCCAGTCATATAAAATGACGTAGAATTGCAGGAAATGATATTAGAAAAGGCCCTTTTTTTCACTGACCTACAACCCCCTCAGCCCCTGCTCTTCAGAACTGAGCCCCGAATGTTATGAAACTGGTGACGGCCCTGCCCTACAGCAGATCTATTGGGCCAACATGTTCTCATGGATGTAATGCTATATTTTTACACCAGGTGGGATTGTGGAGTAGGAAATGAACAGTTTCTCATTGGGCTTTTTTTTAGATATAATCAAATGAAATGAGCCATTCCAGCTGTGGCAACTAGTCAGACTTAACATGGACTTGAGTCCATTTAACATGGACTTGAGTCAAAATGTTTTGTTTTAATAGGGCTTTAATGCTTCTTTTCGACTGTAACAAAAGCAGCATTAGGGCACTATTCAGACTTGAGATACGTTTACTTAAGATGGACTTAAAACAAAACATGTTGACTTAAAACCATGTTTTATGGACCTAAGTCCATGTTAAGTCTACTTATCTCAAATCTGAATCGGCCCCTAATGAATCTTTCCATCTCTGAGAATAATTGTATACTCTTCTCACTTAATGCTGCTTTTTGACTGTAACACCAGTGTTACACTAGTGTATACAGTTGAAGTCGGAGGTTTACATACACCTTAGCCAAATACATTTAAACTCAGTTTTTCACAATTCCTGACATTTAATCCTAGTAAAAATTCCAAGTATGCTTGGGTTCATTGTCCATTTGGAAGACCCATTTGCGACCAAGCTTTAACTTCCTGACTGATGTCTTGAGATGTTGCTTCAATATATCCACATAATTTCCCTTCCTCATGATGCCATCTATTTTGTGAAGTGCACCAGTCCCTCCTGCAGCAAAGCACCCCCACAGCATGATGCTGCCACCCCGTGCTTCACGGTTGGGATGGTGTTCTTCGGCTTGCAAGCATCCCCCTTTTTCCTCCAAACATAACGAAGGTCATTATGGCCAAACAGTTCTATTTTTGTTTAATCAGACCAGAGGACATTTCTCCAAAAAGTACGATCTTTGTCCCCATGTGCAGTTGCAAACGTAGTCTGGATTTTTTATGGCGGTTTTGGAGCAGTGGCTTCTTCCTTGCTTAGCGGCCTTTCAGGTTATGTCGATATAGGGCTCGTTTTACTGTGGAGATACTTTTGAACCTGTTTCCTCCAGCATCTTCACAAGGTCCTTTGCTGTTGTTCTGGGATTGATTTGCACTTTTCGCACCAAAGTACGTTCATCTCTAGGAGACAGAACTCGTCTCCTTCCTGAGCGGTATAATAATATAATATGCCATTTAGCAGACGCTTTTATCCAAAGCGACTTACAGTCATGTGTGCATAAATGTTTACCTATGGGTGGTCCCGGGGATCGAACCCACTACCCTGGCGTTACAAACGCCATGCTCTACCAATTGAGCTAGGTATGACGGCTGTGTGGTCCCATGGTGTTTATACTTGTGTACTATTGTTTGTACAGATGAATGTGGTACCTTCAGGCGTTTGGAAATTGCTCCCAAGGATGAACCAGACTTGTGGAGGTCTACCATTTTTTTTCCTGAGGTCTTGGCTGATTTCTTTTGATTTTCCCATGATGTCAAGCAAAGAGGCACTGAGTTTGAAGGTACACCTCCAATTGACTCAAATTATGTCAATTAGCCTATTATTGACTGTACGTTTTGTTTATTCAATATGTTTTTTCCGCACTGTTCTATAGTTGGATAATATCTTGTAAAAAATAGCAGGTTTACTGGTTAGAGACCCTTGTTTTACCAATCGCTTGTGTATTGTCTGGTGTGGCAGTAGTAGCCTATATGAAGTAGGCTTGTGTCAAAAGATCTCATTGTAGACAGAATAATTTAGAGAGAATCTGAAGATGGTTCCTGGCAATAGTTCCTTCCAGTTTGTTGTTGCTTCCTCCACTCGGTTGGAAGTGAGAAAATTCAATGCAGCCGACCAAGTCGAGATTTTAAAAGCTGTCTTCGGGAAATATGTTTTTCTTTATGGGGGACAACACTTGTGTCAAGCATGGACGGAGACGCATTGCATGGCTAGTGAAAATAATTGCAACGAACCCAGAGATTGAGCAGAGGGCAACATATCATCCGTGCATGAGTGCATCAGGGGTGTCGCTGCAATATTTCATTTTCTGTATTAGCCAAACATTGTACATTCCCCTACCCACCACTCTTTTTTTCTTCCTTCCTTTTTCTTTCTTCTCACACACACACACACACACTATATATCTTTATTTCTCTCTCCCTCTCTCTCTTCAGTTGGCCTATAGCTGTTTTCCTTTGCCCTTCTCCCTTCAGAGCAGTGAGTGCATCCTCTCTCTGCACATTTTCCTCTAACTCATTAGGCTTCTGTTTTGAGCTGAGACAGCAACAGGCAGGAGGTAGAGGGGGATAAGGACAGGTTGGAAGGTTATGATAAATGACTTTAGTACTGTCACACACACACACACTGGTCTTCCATTCACTTGTTTATCATCCACTTGTCAAGGAACACAGTCTAATTTGTCTGTCAGCCATTGTGCAGAGACCTGCCATTATGCTGAATCATTAATCCAATTGTATATGTTTTGTTACCAGGTTTACCTGTGCTTAGCAAAATATGACACATTGCTTAACAGCATGTCTGTCTGTCCCTCCCTCCCTCAGGAGAGATGTGGCTAAGAGCTATGCAGAGGTGAGCGTTACAGGAGGAGATTCATCCCTCCACATCCGGACTCCTCGGGGCCTGCTAATCGTGGAGTTGCCAGCAGGGGTCAGCCTCGTGGAGGGCTCCTGCAGGGACGCACCTGGAGCAGGAGACGAGATGCACTTCAGAATGCGCCTCAAAGTGGACCAGCACACAGACGACACAGGTAATGGTGAGGCTAGCTGTATTGACGCACTCAAAAAGAAATGTGTGCACGTACACACACACACACACACCACACACACAGACCACACACACAGAGACAGAGAATTACTCCCATGTAAATGTATGTTTCTCACATATCATAGCCTAATTACCATCTCCACTTCAGGTAAGACAGAACAGTATCAGCAGATAATTTGTTATTTATGGCTGGTTATATAATATTCTCATCTGGCTTGAGTCAGTCTGTGGCTGTGAAGCCTTCCCTGAATCTGAGACAGTGGAGGACTCCTCCTGTGTGCTCTCTGTAGCCTGATAAGCCCACACAGTACTGATCTATGAAGGACTGAGTCATGAGCTCAGTAATTGGCCCGTCATGTCTAAAATACACACACCAATAGATATACAGACAATGTGAATCTTTGACCTGAATCAGCTGTAACCTGATTTTTGTGGAGTAATACTCAACCATCTTCCATGAGAAAGAACTGAGTGCATGTTTTGATGCTACTGTTCAGGGATGCAATACATGGGTCGCATTTATTAAGGCACACTGTAGCAAACATGTTTTGCAACGGAAAACAAAAACTAGCATTTCTTATTGGTTCAGGTAGTCAGTCTGTTTTCTTCCGTTTGGTGTCAAATGAATACACCCCAGGTTTACTTTGTCTCACTCATCAGATCTTGCTTATATTAACTGTAGAGTCATTGCAGCACTAACCAGGGAACCAGAGGAGATTGCTCCCATGTCTCTCTCCCAGAGAGAACAGGGCCCATATCCACAAAGAGTATGATCTAGGCTGCGAAAGTTGCTAAACGCTGGGGTGGTGGCGGACTGGCGGTGGTGAAAGCAGCTTGGAAGAAAGCGGGCAATTCATCTGTTTTTGAGCACTCCTTCTCTGAAATGCTTTGTGGATATGGGCCCAGACCCCTAAGACCCGAATCCTTCATCTCTCTGTCTGCGTTCACTAAATGACGTAAATGTAATGGTGTGAGGGACTAATTTAGCGCCCCACCCAACGGCCTCTCTCCAGCTGAGAGGAAGACGGCCCAGCCGACACAACACAAGGACAGCTGGTGGAGTTTTAATTGACAAATCCAATCAAAAACGGATTGATTGGCAGCTTTCTTCCAAGCTTCTTTCACCACTGCCAGTCCGCCACCACCCCAGTATTTATCGACTTTTGCTCCGTCTCTAGGTGAAGCTCTTTTCCGCCGATAAGTTTCGAGTTGTTTATGTGTTCTGTGGCTGCTCTCTCCTAACAGGTGCCCTGGGGAGTGTGATGGAGAGGCTGCAGGTCCAAGAGAGTTATTGCTTCCACTGCCAGTCCTGTGGGACCAGGGTGTTAGAGGAGAGGTGAGACGACCACAGGGAGGAAGTTTGTTGGTTTATTTACGCCCTCCGTTCAGACACAGGAAGTAGTGCCGCTCAAAGTAGTGGAGAAGATGGGTTCAGTGAGGGAGATGGATGGCTGTTTGAGCTAGAGGACAATGCTGTGCTCTGTCTCATCTCGTCTCCCAATGTCATGGAGACATTGGGATAGGGGGATACATGCACACCCACACACACCTGCCATAACTTAGTGAATACATATGTTTGTAACGTTATGTCATGGAAAATGGGTAGAACTGGAATATTGCACAGCTTTCCCTGTTAATGCAAATAGGTTTTTGATTGAACTAATCGATTCATTTCATCACAGTACAAATAGTCTCCAATGTATAACAATGTAATGTCATGTATTTTTCTCAGGGTGTTCAAGCGAGTGCTCCCTCTCCCCAACGGCAACTGGAGCTCCCTGGTGGATGACTGGTGCTGCCATCCGGACCCCTTTGCCAACCTGAAGCTGCTGCCCAGAGCGGAGGACTGTTTACTGGGCGACACTCACCTCCTTGTGCCCCGGGACAGAGGCTGTGAGGAGACTCTCACCCAGGAGCTCAGCCCCAGCCCCATCACCAACAAAATGGCTGACGGTCAAAATCAGCACACAGGGGTGAGAGGAGGCAAGAAAGGAAGGAACCTCTGAGACAGAAGATCAATGCCGTTTTAGCCTTGCTCATCACTTTGATGTTCGTTAGATACAGTGGGGAAAAAAAGTATTTAGTCAGCCACCAATTGTGCATGTTCTCCCACTTAAAAAGATGAGAGAGGCCTGTAATTTTCATCATAGGTACACGTCAACTATGATAGACAAAATGAGGAAAAATAATCCAGAAAATCACATTGTAGGATTTTTTATGAATTTATTTGCAAATTATGGTGGAAAATAAGTATTTGGTCAATAACAAAAGTTTCTCAATACTTTGTTATATACCCTTTGTTGGCAATGACACAGGTCAAACGTTTTCTGTAAGTCTTCACAAGGTTTTCACACACTGTTGCTGGTATTTTGGCCCATTCCTCCATGCAGATCTCCTCTAGAGCAGTGATGTTTTGGGGCTGTCGCTGGGCAACACGGACTTTCAACTCCCTCCAAATATTTTCTATTGGGTTGAGATCTGGAGACTGGCTAGGCCACTCCAGGACCTTGAAATGCTTCTTACGAAGCCACTCCTTCGTTGCCCGGGCGGTGTGTTTGGGATCATTGTCATGCTGAAAGACCCAGCCACGTTTCATCTTCAATGCCCTTGCTGATGGAAGGAGGTTTTCACTCAAAATCTCACGATACATGGCCCCATTCATTCTTTCCTTTACACGGATCAGTCGTCCTGGTCCCTTTGCAGAAAAACAGCCCCAAAGCATGATGTTTCCACTCCCATGCTTCACAGTAGGTATGGTGTTCTTTGGATGCAACTCAGCATTCTTTGTCCTCCAAACACGACGAGTTGAGTTTTTACCAAAAAGTTCTATTTTGGTTTCATCTGACCATATGACATTCTCCCAATCCTCTTCTGGATCATCCAAATGCACTCTAGCAAACTTCAGACGGGCCTGGACATGTACTGGCTTAAGCAGGGGGACACGTCTGGCACTGCAGGATTTGAAACCCTGGCGGCGTAGTGTGTTACTGATGGTAGGCTTTGTTACTTTGGTCCCAGCTCTCTGCAGGTCATTCACTAGGTCCCCCCGTGTGGTTCTGGGATTTTTGCTCACCGTTCTTGTGATCATTTTGACCCCACGGGGTGAGATCTTGCATGGAGCCCCAGATCGAGGGAGATTATCAGTGGTCTTGTATGTCTTCCATTTCCTAAAAATTGCTCCCACAGTTGATTTCTTCAAACCAAGCTGCTTACCTATTGCAGATTCAGTCTTCCCAGCCTGGTGCAGGTCTACAATTTTGTTTCTGGTGTCCTTTGACAGCTCTTTGGTCTTGGCCATAGTGGAGTTTGGAGTGTGACTGTTTGAGGTTGTGGACAGGTGTCTTTTATACTGATAACAAGTTCAAACAGGTGCCATTAATACAGGTAACGAGTGGAGGACAGAGGAGCCTCTTAAAGAAGAAGTTACAGGTCTGTGAGAGCCAGACATCTTGCTTGTTTGTAGGTGACCAAATACTTATTTTCCACCATAATTTGCAAATAAATTCATTAAAAATCCTACAATGTGATTTTCTGGATTTTTTTTCCTCAATTTGTCTGTCATAGTTGACGTGTACCTATGATGAAAATTACAGGCCTCTCTCATCTTTTTAAGTGGGAGAACTTGCACAATTGGTGGCTGACTAAATACTTATTTTCCCCACTGTACATAATATAGGATTTTGGCATTTCACGTCACGCTCACTCCCTCCCAAATGTACTGTATACCTACCGAAAAGTAAAGTTAAAGCATTGGTCATTTTCAAATGTTTCCCTCATGTTTGGAAAGTGTACTGTAGTTACATCAGCAGTGAGTGTGCTTCAGGCTAAGTGTTAGTGGGAGACTATCTGTATACCCCCATCCCACTGGGCCTGAGACTGGCAGGATGAGATGGACACACTCTACTTCACTACCAGCAGCAGCTCGCAGCACTCCCTTTTTAGAGAGGAAACTTGAGGAGGCGGGCAGACAGGCAGCACATCAACACATATCGTGAGCCACTTTAACCCGAGCCTACAGCCAGGCCTGGTGTTTGAAGCCAAGTTTTTTTTCTCTCTCTCTATCGGTCTCTTTCTGCCGCTCTCTCTCTCTCTCTCGCTCTCTCTCCCCATCACTATCTGGAGTGGGATTGATTTCCCTCTCCATCTATTAGTCACTCTCTGTGGCTCAGTCTGGGCCTTTTAGTGTGGCTGTGGTTGAGTGGATGGGAAGTGGAAAGAGAGACGAGGAGAGGAATTCTGCCTGCCCATTGCTCTCTCCTCTTTTTAGGCTGTTTGATTGTGGTTATCGATTTCCGTTTTGGAGGAACTTAAATTAGAACTGTGTGTTCTTGTCTTTAGCTTTCTTTTTTATTTTTCTGTTATTTTTGTAGAAACCCAACCGCAGGCGAACACTTGTCTCCTGTAAGAGCTGTACAGCCGGCCTGGGAGAGGCTGTGGCACCAGGTACACAACAGTATTTATAGAATACAGGATTTTATTGATTTGCTGTCATAATACCCAACGTCATACACACACACACACACACACACACACACACACACACACACACACTGGTTGGGAGCAGCACAGTGTCGGCCTCCGAGCTGCACTGCCGGAGCAATTTTAGGGCTTAAATTCCTTGCTCAAGGGCTCAAAGGCAGTGAATGGCACAAGACCAGCAGCCCTTTGTTTGTCTGTTCAATTCCTACTTTTATCATCTACCCTGGGGCTTGAACCAAAATAAAGTTGCATTGCATTAGAAAAGAGAACCTGACCTGGGCATATCTGCATGAGGGTTTGCTCAATAACTCCCCCCTATCTGAGATACCTACTGCAGCCCTCATCCTCCACATACAACACCCGTTCTGCCAGTCACATTCTATTAAAGGTCCCCAAACCACACACATCCCTGGGTCGATCCTCTTTTCAGTTCGCTGCAGCTAGCGACTGGAACGAGCTGCAAAAAACACTCAAACTGGAGAGTTTTATCTCCATCACTTCATTCAAAGACTCAATCATGGACACACTTACTGACAGTTGTGGCTGCTTCGCGAGATGTATTGTTGTCTCCACCTTCTTGCCTTTGTGCTGTTGTCTGTGCCCAATAATGTTTGTACCATGTTTTGTGCTGCTACCATGTTGTGCTGCTGCCATGTTGTGTTGCTACCATGTTGTTGTCATGTGGTGTTGCTACCATGCTGTGTTGTTGTCTTAGGTCTCTCTTTATGTAGTGTTGTGGTGTCTCTCTTGTCGTGATGTGTGTTTTGTCCTATATTTTTATGTTTAATCCCAGCCCCCAGCCCCGCAGGAGGCCTTTTGCCTTTTGGTAGGCCGTCATTGTAAATAAGAATTTGTTCTTAACTGACTTGCCTAGTTAAATAAAGGTTACATTTAAAATATATTTTTAAAATTGTTTCTCTAAATGTTGCAGGGACCCTGAAACTCTACATCACAGAGGTGACAGTGAGACCCAGTGTGGGAGACAGCCAGTTTGATACCTCTCTAGACAGGTAACTATGCTGCTGCTTCTCGGACTGGTGCATATTGCTATAACATCTTTGGAGACTCATCATCATCATTCAGATACTCAGCTTCTCGAAGTGCAAATCAATGTAAATGCATAGTTTTTCATTATGCAGATGCCAGATATTACCTTTTGGTCTGACTAATATGCCATTTAGCAGACACTTTTATCCAAAGCCACTTACAGTCGTGTGTGCATACATTTTTACGTATGGTTGGTCCCGGGGATCGAACCCACTACCCTGGCGTTACAAGCGCCATGCTCTACCAATTGAGCTACAGAGGACCACAATGCCAATGAGAGATGTAGAATATTATTTTAGACATAGGAAGGTAGAATTCATAATGAGGGTTAACCATGCCGTACTCTTCCACAGGTCACTGTTCCTGGAACAGACCATAGCTGCCAGACTGGTGGAGCTGTCCTCGTCGCAGAGCATGTTTCGTTTCTCTATCCAGACCCCAGATGGAAAAGCCTTCATATTGGTAAGAGGTGTGTGCATGCATATGTGTGTGTGTGTGAGAGGGAGAGCTTGAAATATGTGAGACAGAGATGGTGTGTGCATTGGTGAAATGTGTGTGACTTTAACAGAGAGGGTGTGAAGTGTTAAATGACTTCTTCTGATCCTCAGCTCTGGCTCCTGAACAGCGACTCCCTCATCGCCTCTCTCTCTGCCACTCCGTCATCGACTGTCAGCGGTGATGCTGTCACCTCTCCTAGCCAACGCCAGTGTTCTGAGAGTCAATCACCAACTAAGGCTGGCAGCGCCGTCAAAGTCCTCTATCTCTCCTGTTCTCCCTCTGCCAGCACTAGCAGCACACACCAGGAGTAAGCTATAGCCTACATACCCATCTCCTGCTGAATGTCAGCCTGACAGCCTCTGCATTTCTGCTAGAGTATGATTTTTTTTGGGGGGGGGGTCTTTCAGTGCAGTTTGTTCAGGATATTTGTTTATAATGGGTATTTTTCGGTGTTTGTACTATTGGTATTTTTTTTATTATAAAATTGTGTTTTGCAACTGGGGGTGAGCCTGGAGAACAGAAATGAGTCACAGATAGATGTGGTGGGTGCTCCATGTTCCTCCATGCCGAGTTCCACGCAGGAGGATTCTTCACTTCTGTTATGATTTCCTTTTTCCTCTTCCTTTTCACCTTAGAGAAGTCTTGTTTTGCTTCGTAGAATGTGACAGCCCCTCCAGCAGACTGGCAGCAGAGCTGTAATGAATAAACCGTAGATGAAAGGAGAGGACTCCACTCCTCTCCGCACGGCACTACAGTTCAGCGTAGCTCAGTGCGTCACATCAATGCTGTTAACTGCATGTAGGATGGGAAATTGCCTGCTGTTTAAGTATGACACCTCGAAGCTAGATTTTCATTCTTCCCGTCTAATCAGGGACTGATTTAGACCTGGGACACCAGGTGGGTGCAATTAAATATCAGGTAAGAACAGAAAGCCTGCAATACCCTGGACCTCCAGGCTCGGATTTGAATACACTAATACCCTACGCCAAGGCTCTCCAATCCTGTTCCTGGAGAGCTACCATCCTGTAGGTTTTCGCTCCAACCCTAATCTAGCTCACAGGTTGATAATTAGCTGGTTAATAAGTTAAATCAGGTTAGTTACAACTGGGGTTAGCTCTCCAGGAACAGGGTTGGAGAGCCCTGCCCTACACTAGCTTAAACCAGATCACTCTAACATTTCAGAAGAAAACAACGTGGCAATTGGCTGACACAGTTTATATGAAGGAGGGGAAGTGTTAGAGAAACATCTGTTTCCTCTAGGCCTACATACTGTTACATATGTAACATAATTCATCCCTGACAATGTTTTAATTAATTCAGCCATGTTAATCACGGCGCACCGTCTGTTTTGGTTGAACGCACTGGAGGTGACGTGGTGTTTGTTGGAGATGCACACCAGTAATGTGTCTCTAATTGGTGGGAGAATCAGTGAGCTTCTGCTTAATTTAATTGTGGCTGTCACCAAGGGCGATGACTTGATTAGTGGAACTAATCTAATTTACAACCAGGGGTGTATTCATTAGTACAAACCGTAGCAAAACATTTTGCAACGAATACGAGGGTTTCTTATTCGACAAGTTCAGGTTAGTCCCTCCCTGTTTCGGCTCATTTGCTTTTGTTTGGACATGGTTCCTAAAGACTACACCCCAGATGGACTTGGGTAACCGTTGAAGTTTTATGACCAGCGCTGCATGTGTTAAGGTTTTCTTTACTGTAAAAGCAGTTGTATTCACTGTATACTAAGTGAGTGTTACTTTCTATACGAAGGCATTGTCAGCAGTGTCTCTCGCAGAGCCGCTGCACAGATGGCCAAATGTAATGAAAAAACCTGGATCGCTTCCACAACCTGTGACCGGGAATCAATCTATCCCTCACTTTCTCATACCTCCATCACTTTCAAACTCTCACTGTTCAACATTACCCAGTGATAGATTATAATTATTTGATTAACATCGTAATGCTTCAAACTGGGATTTATATCCCCTTGCCTAGAAGATGTGAACATCGGCGAGATATTTGACTCTGACTGATGCAGTCTCTTTCTTCATGTCTTTCTCTCGCTCTCATAATTTTTTTATTTCTCCCACTTTGTCTCTTTCTCTCGCTCTCCCTTATCTCTGTGTGTGTCCAGTGTTGTGAACACCTGGGAGAAGGACATCGGTGTCCACACCCTAGACCTGCCCCTGACCACATGCCAGGAGCTATTGTCAGTGCTGACAGCTAGTACTACCTGTCTCCCTCCGTCGCTGCATTCCATGAACTCCTACCAGGTAAGAGGGCCTCTGGGTAATGTAGGCAGAGCTTCTCCCCTTGGCAGGAGGAACATGACACTGTTTGATTCCATATTGTTGATATCCATTATTTACAGCCTCTACCTACAGTGGGGAGAACAAGTATTTGATACACTGCCGATTTTGCAGGTTTTCCTACTTACAAAGCATGTAGAGGTCTGTAATTCTTATCATAGGTACACTTAAACTGTGAGAGACGGAATCCCCAAAAAAATCCAGAAAACCACATTGTATGATTTTTAAGTAATTAATTGCATTTTATTGCATGACATAAGTATTTGATCAGAAAAGCAGAACTTAATATTTGGTACAGAAACCTTTGTTTGCAATTACAGAGATCATACGTTTCCTGTAGGTCTTGACCAGGTTTGCACACACTGCAGCAGGGATTTTGGCCCACTCCTCCATACAGACCTTCTCCAGATCCTACAGGTTTCGGGGCTGTCGCTGGGCAATACAGACTTTCAGCTCCCTCCAAAGATTTTCTATTGGGTTCAGGTCTGGAGACTGGCTAGGCCACTCCAGGACCTTGATATGCTTCTTACGGAGCCACTCCTTAGTTGCCCTGGCTGTGTGTTTCGGGTCGTTGTCATGCTGGAAGACCCAGCCACGACCCATCTTCAATGCTCTTACTGAGGGAAGGAGGTTGTTGGCCAAGATCTTGCGATACATGGCCCCATCCATCCTCCCCTCAATACGGTGCAGTCGTCCTGTCCCCTTTGCAGAAAAGTATCCCCAAAGAATGATGTTTCCACCTCCATGCTTCACGGTTGGGATGGTGTTCTTGGGGTTGTACTCAACCTTCTTCTTTCTCCAAACACGGCGAGTGGAGTTTATACCAAAAAGCTCTATTTTTGTCTCATCAGACCACATGACCTTCTCCCATTCCTCCTCTGGATCATCCAGATGGTCATTGGCAAACTTCAGATGGGCCTGGACATGCGCTGGCTTGAGCAGGGGGACCTTGCGTGCGCTGCAGGATTTTAATCAATGACGGCGTAGTGTGTTACTAATGGTTTTCTTTGAGACTGTGTTCCCAGCTCTCTTCAGGTCATTGACCAGGTCCTGCCGTGTAGTTCTGGGCTGATCCCTCACCTTCCTCATGATCATTGATGCCCCACGAGGTGAGATCTTGCATGGAGCCCCAGACCGAGGTTGATTGACCGTCATCTTGAACTTCTTCCATTTTCTAATAATTGCGCCAACAGTTGTTGCCTTCTCACCAAGCTGCTTGCCTATTGTCCTGTAGCCCATCCCAGCCTTGTGCAGGTCTACAATTTTATCCCTGATGTCCTTACACAGCTCTCTGGTCTTGGCCATTGTGGAGAGGTTGGAGTCTGTTTGATTGAGTGTGTGGACAGGTGTCTTTTATACAGGTAAGGAGTTCAAACAGGTGCAGTTAATAAAGGTAATGAGTGGAGAACAGGAGGGATTCTTAAAGACAAACTAACAGGTCTGTGAGAGCTGGAATTCTTACTGGTTGGTAGGTGATCAAATACTTATGTCATGCAATAAAATGCAAATGAATTACTTAAAAATCATACAATGTGATTTTAGTAGCTATCGTTGCAACCATTTAAAATAATTTTACGCACATTTTCGAAAAGAGGTCCAGAAGACGCTAGGTCACCGACAATACTGCTGGGTAGCCAAACTTTTTTAGTGCCCACAACAACAGTCTCCTCTACACTACAAAAGGGGAGAATTTTGTTGCACCAAGGCAAGACTAGGAGGTGTTAACTTTGCTGACTTCACCAGGGACTCTCCAGAGACTTCCAGACAGTTTCACAGTAATTACCACCATTGTCTCATCCCTGCTTCTTTACCTGTCACAGCAGCACTCACCTGAGAGCAAGACGTATGGTTGGAGAAGTTGAAGTAGCCTAACATCCACAAAAATTTGAAAAATAACGTAAACAAACATTTTGAGCTCCTGCTTATTCAGCGTGGCAGTAAATAAGGACTCTGCCTCCTGTCTCATTATATAGTTATCATGGCTCTGGGTCCTTTGATTAAAATGCTTACTACTTACTGTTTTCACTTCCCTCCACCACTACTGTACCAAACCTCTACGAGACTGCTTATTACATTTAAGAGCTGTCTCTCTCTCTCTCTCTCTCTCTCTCTCTGCAATATCATATTTTGTGTTCCTTCCCTCCTTCACAAAACTCTGTTACTTGCCTTCTGGGTCTGTACAGGGGAGGAGGAACTCATTTTGACTCTGGCAGAAGCTATCAATTCCACTTAGAGGGAGGGGAGAGAGAGAGAATTGAAAAAGTAAGGAAAGAAGTTATCTTAAGTTTGTCGTATTTCAGTCTGATAGGTGTGTATGGTGTTGAGTTAGTAATTCCGTACATTCCAGATGTTGCAATAAGTCTTTTTAGTTTAAATACAGATTTTTACATAGAAACCATCAATTGTCTATAGTTGCGATACCATACTCCCCCGACGTTACCATATTCCCAAATCCCGTTCATCACTCAGCATGGAAAGCCTGGAAATCGAGGCTATCAATGTCTTGTCCTGACCGTGAGTGATTATGCTACTGCTGAAAAGGGACTTGTTTTAGGACAGGGTACTTAGACTGCATGTCACTAAAATGGAGAAGAGACAAGACGGACTGAGGGGAGTGATGAAGAGTGTCTGATTTAGTCACTTAAATACCTCCACTATAGAGGTGGATTCACTGCTCTGCTGTAGGCCTAGTAGTACCAGAGAGTAATGCAATCACATAGTCAGATAGAGTTACAGCAGATGAGGGCTGAAAACTCCCAAATTGATAATGTAGCCCGAATAGTGTGTGTGTGTGTGTGTGTGTGTGTGGGCATGTGAAATGGTGAGTGTGCCTTCCAGTGCCAGTCTATTGTGTTAGCCCTACTAACCAGATTTAGCCTCTCATTATTGGAGGAGGAATGGTGTGTTGTCTGAGCTGTGCTGCGTTGTAATGGGGTGTAAAGTAGTTCCAGTGCAGAGTGCCTCCCCTGCATCAGGGAACAGACAGCACAAGGGGGGCCAGTATGAACAAAAATAAAAATGTATGCACTCACTAACTGTAAGTCGCTCTGGATAAGAGCGTCTGCTAAATTACAAAAAAAATTAAAATGAAAAATATATACAAAAAATATAAAAAATGGACAGAAATAGGTAAGGGGCAAAATGCAAGAAAATTTTGATATATATATTTCAGGTCTCACCCTGCCGATGTCTTGCACACTACTGTGGCACATTGTTGAAATCAATTACCTCCCTCGGATACACGCGCCTCGTCTCATTACCTCTATGCCAAGGGATGCATGAAAAAGGGGATTTGTCGGAATAAGAATTCTCCGCTAACCCGCACTGTATTGTATTAGACTAAATGACTCCGTGTGGATGGTCCCCATAATTTAGATTACTCAGTCAGTTGCTGTGGCTCTCCTCAATCAGAAACCTCCCTCAGTCAGTAGCCTAGATCACACTTTCAGAAATGCCTTATTCCCTTTAGAACACAGTTTCAGTGTAGGCAAACTGCTTTCACTTCAGCATCCCATTCCCGTTCACACATGTCATTTGTGTGTTTTTTTCCCCCTCAGATATTTTTCTTGTCAAGTGGAGAAAATAATATTCCCTCTGTCACCTCGCCACTTGTCGAGTGTTGTGATAACAGAACGCATGTAGCAGAGCATCAAAGCTGAGCCTATGGCTTCTGAAGCTTCTCTCCTCTAGTCGTATCAGCCCTTTTAATGTTGACAGATAAACACCCCGCTGTGAATACTACTACCTCTGACAAAAGAGCCATAGTACAGTGATAGAAAGAAAATAAACTGTACTGGTCAAATGCAATCTCCTGGTACTGGAAGAAGTGTTTCTCTCAAATATAAAAAAAAATGAATATCCCTAGGAAGTTGGGGGAAATAGATGTTTATAAAGGAGGCGGGCTGAAATTGTATTTCCATTATTATAATTTGTTACTGCTGTGAGCTCACGATGAAGCTGTGATGAGTATCTGTTTCACCCCTGGGTAGCACACTAGCATATCACAACTATTCTTGGAATGTAGCAGGACCTTATGTCAATAATAATTCATTTAATTTGTAAAGCGTTTTTTTCTCACACTCAAGGCGCCATTAAAAAAATTATAATAATAAAAACAATCCAAAAAACAGAACATAGATACAGACAAAAGAACAAAGCGATATACAGATATCATCAGGTCGGGAGGACATGAGAACAGAATTACCCGAGGTCCTGGAAAGCTTTTCTGAACAGCACAGTCTTGAGCTGTGCCTTAAAGGAGGACAGAGACTCTTCCCTAATAGTGTCTGGGAGTGTGTTCTGTAGCCGCACAACTGAAATCCCTGTCACCCATAGTTTTTAGTCTGCTGCGGGGCTGCTGAAGGAAGATGGACCTGGAGGAGCGAAGGGTGCGTGTGGGGCAGGAGGATAGAATGAGGTCAGACAGGTACCCGAGTGGCGCAGTGGTCTAAGGCACTGCATCGCAGTGCTAGCTGTGCCACTAGAGATCCTGGTTCGAATCCAGGCTCTGCTGTAGCCGGCCGCAACCGGGAGACCAAAGGGGCGGCGCACAATTGGCCCAGCGTCGTCCAGGGTAGGGGAGGGAATGGCTGGCAGGGAGGTAGCTCAGTTGGTAGAGCATGGGGTTTGCAACGCCAGGGTTGTGGGTTCGTTTCCCACGGGGGGCCAGTATGAAAATAAAAAAGAATAATGTATGCACTAACTGTAAGTCGCTCTGGATAAGAGCGTCTGCTAAATTATGTAAAATGTAAATACTTGGGTCCAGAGCTGTGGAGACCTTGGTAGGTGTGAACCAGGATTTTGTAGTCGATGCGTGAGCATATGTGGATCCAGTGGAAGTTGAACAGCACTGGATTGATGTGCTCACGGGGGGGAAGTGTGGGTGAGGACACGTGCAGCACAGTTGTGGACATATTGTAGCCTGTTTAGGCACTTTGCAGATACAGCAACAAAAGGGCCGTTAAAATGAAATAAAGGCGTGGATGAGTCGCTCAGCTGCAGGTTGTGATAGCATAGGTCATAACCTGGCGATGTTCCATAGATGGAAAAATTAGACTTTGGTCACAGTCTTGATGTGGACCTCAAACGAGAGCTGACTGTCAAATATCACACCCAGGTTGTGAACCTCACTGGAGGGGAGGACCTTGACACCATCAATATTGAGGCTGCTGATTTAGTCAATGATGGTGTGAGTGCCAATCAGGACAACCTCTGTCTTTTTGTAGTTTAACTGCATGAAATTCAACTGCATCCATGCTTTGATGTCCTGCAGGCAGCTGACCAGGAGTGCAGTGGCATTGGCAGTGGTCAGTGTTTGTGGAGACATACAGCTGAGTGTCGTCAGCATAGACGTGAAAGCCCAGTCCGTGTTTCCTCAAGATGTTTCTCAGTGGCAGCATGTAGATACAAAACGGTAGTGGCCCCAGGACCAAGCCTTGAGGGGGACCCCCTGTCGGACCACAACTGTCTCACCTACTAGGACCAATGGCTACAAACTGGTAGCGAGCAGTGAGATAGGACCTGAACCAGAACAGTGTCTGACAGGCCCAGGAGCTTCTCCATGCGGTACAGCAGGATGGTGTGTTGCTGACCGTGTCGAATGCTGCACTGAGGTGCAGCAGTATTGAGGATGTCAGCCCCAGAGTTAGCATTCATGAGGAGGTCATTGGTGACCCTTACCAGGGCAGTCTTGGTGCTGTGTCTAGCTCTGAAACCCAACTGGAAGGGCTCAAGTAGGTTGTGAGTGCCAGGTGGTTTTGGAGTTGGTTAGAAACAGCACGTTCGAGGGAGGCACTTACTCAGGAAGGGCAGGTTGGAAATAGGCCTGTAGTTCTGGAGGTTGTCAGGGTCATATCCAGGCTTTTTAAGTACTGGTGTGACTGCGGACAGTTTGAGCTGAGGAGGGGACACATCCAGTGATGAGGGACTTGTTGATAATTTCTGTGAAGAAAGGCTCCAGAGCAGGTAACCAGGTCTTGACAAGGGAGGTGGGGATAGGGTCAAGTGAGCAAGTGGTGGGCCTCATTGTCCTAACCAGCTTGGTTACATCAGCTGCAGTGACTGTGGTGAAGGTGGAGAACTTTGACTCAGGGAGCATAGGACTGGGTAGATCAACTGGAGAGGATGGTGTTTTCAATATTTTTTGGGAAGAAGCACAGGTATTTGTTGCACTGTTCTGGGGGAGGCTGAGGTAGCAGAATTGTTGACAGGTTGGAAGAGAACAGCACCCGGGAGTTACCACTGCCGTTGCTGATCAGTTGGGAGAAGTAGAATGTCCGAGCTGCATTTATGGCCTGTTTGTATTCTTGCTGATGTTGCTCATTCATCTGCGCATGTACGGTTATCCAAGTTATCTTATACTGTCGTTCTAGACGACAGCCAGTTGCTTTGAGAGAGCGTAGCTCCTTAGTGTACCAGAGAGAAGATTTGGAGAAAGACACCAGGTGGGTTTTCAAAGGAGCAACTTCATCCAGGATGGAGGCCAAGGCAGTGTTGTATTGAACCACAGATAGTTCCATAAGAAAGTCAGAGTTGAGCTTAGGAGGCCGATAAATCAACACAGCGAGTACTGATACTGAGCCAGGGATTTTGAAAACCATGCATTCAAAAGGTGAGACCGCTAGTACTGGAGTAGACTTCACAGTGCGGTCAGTCCTGCAGATTACAGACGATCCGCCAACCTGTCCGGATGTGCGAGGACAGTCCAGGTAGGTGTAGCCAGATGGAGTGCATTGGTTGAGGGATAGGTACTCATTGGACTGAAGTCTCAGTGAGGCAGCGAAAGTCTAGACCTTATCAGTGATGATGTCATTCAGTAGTAAGCCTTTGTTGTTTATGGTTGTTGCATTTAAAAGCCTCCGTTGGAATTACTTTGGAAGTTGCCTGAGGGGAAACCTCCAGAACTGCCCAGTGTCCTCTATCATCCACATCCGGTGATCTACTGCTCGCATTGCGAGTGCACACAATAGATTTAAGTTTGTTCATTAGTCTCCTACCACCCCGTTGTCCTCGCCGTCTGCATGTTTTCATAGGATCCCGTATTGCATAAGATTGTTCTTCAGCTCCCTGCACAGGGTTGTTTTAATATGTTCAAAACTTCTGAGGAATCCTTGGGTGTAGTGAGTGATAGTTGCTGCCATTTCTGTATCTTTTGGTCCAGTCTTTGGTGCAGTAGATATGAGATGATCTAGGAGGATCTGAGATGGTATTTGAATCCAAATAATTAGCTAGAAGTAGTCAAATATGTTAACTAATTTAACGTTGTTGATTAAAAAAGAAAAACTAGATATCTGTGTTCAATACTTGATTAGCTATCAAAAAACAAAACGTTTATAAAAAACAATGCACATAAAATCACTTAACAAATAATTTAAGGATATGTTTGCAGGAGTAAACTACAAAGTCTGCCACTAGGCGCCATTGCAACCATCTATCAATGACAGCAGCTGGTTCAAAGCTACACACTTGAAAGCATTAACATTAGAGGTTGAGGTTCACTCTCCAGTCAAAGGGATTTTTCTTTGGGGGCTTAGCTATTTTGTAGCACATTCACCTTTGGGCCCTCATTTGCTGTCACAGACTTATTTGTTATCATTTGTGTGAATGAGTGTTGATGCGGTGTGCAGGCTGAGATAAGTTTCTGGAGGGAGCCTTGTGTGAAGCCAATGCCCTCATCCATCATCCCAAGATAGCGGTCTCACAGGAGATAGTCAGGCAGAGCTGTGACCCTCTTCCAGGCAAACAACCAGGACTAGGAGATGGCTTTGGTACTGAATGGGTTTGAGTTTTGTGTGCGTGTATGTGCAAGACCTGTGTTTTTTGTTATTGTTCTTAATGTACTGCTATGTCAACCATCTGACCATGAAAGAGAGGACCACGAGCCGACAAATATCTTCATTTTATCCGAGCACATTTACGTAAATGTCACTGTTTTTACCATTGTTTTAAAACAATCCATACAGTATACTCATCATAAGTCAGTTTCATTGTACGTTATGAAGATTATATTTGCTGGCTGTACAGTCGTGGTCAAACGTTTTGAGAATGACACAAGTATTGGTCTTCACAAAGTTTGCTGCTTCAGTGTTTTTAGATATTTTTGTCAGATGTTACTATGGAATACTGAAGTATAATTACAAGCATTCCATAAGTGTCAAAGGCTTTTATTGATAATTACATTAAGTTTATGCAAAGAGTCAATATTTGCAGTGTTGACCCTTCTTTTTCAAGACCTCTGCAATCTGCCCTGGCATGCTGTCAATTAACTTCTGGGCCACATCCTGACTGATGGCAGCCCATTCTTGCATAATCAATGCTTGGAGTTTGTCAGAATTTGTGGGTTTTTGTTTGTCTACCCGCCTCTTGAGGATTGACCACAAGTTCTCAATGGGATTAAGGTCTGGGGAGTTTCCTGGCCATGGACCCAAAATGTCGATGTTTTGTTCCCCGAGCCACTTAGTTATCACTTTTGCCTTATGGCAAGGTGCTCCATCATGCTGGAAAAGGCATTGTTCATCACCAAACTGTTCTTGGATGGTTGGGAGAAGTTGCTCTCGGAGGATGTGTTGGTACCATTCTTTATTCATGGCTGTGTTCTTAGGCAAAATTGTGAGTGAGCCCACTCCCTTGGCTGAGAAGCAACCCCACACATGAATGATCTCAGGATGATTTACTGTTGGCATGACACAGGACTGATGGTAGCGCTCACCTTGTCTTCTCCGGACAAGCTTTTTTTCCGGATGCCCCAAACAATCGGAAAGGGGATTCATCAGAGAAAATGACTTTACCCCCGTCCTCAGCAGTCCAATCCCTGTACCTTTTGCAGAATATCAGTCTGTCCCTGATGTTTTTCCTGGAAAGAAGTGGCTTCCTCGCTGCCCTTCTTGACACCAGGCCATCCATCTCACTGTGCGTGCAGATACACTCACACCTGCCTGCTGCCATTCCTGAGCAAGCTCTGCACTGGTGGTGCCCCGATCCCGCAGCTGAATCAACTTTAGGAGACGGTTCTGGCGCTTGCTGGACTTTCTTGGGCGCCCTGAAGCCTTCTTCACAACAATTGAACCTCTCTCCTTGAAGTTCTTGATGATCCGATAAATGGTTGATTTAGGTGCAATCTTACTAGCAGCAATATCCTTGCCTGCGAAGCCCTTTTTGTGCAAAGCAATGATGACTGCACGTGTTTCCTTGCAGGTAACCATGGTTAACAGAGGAAGAACAATAACTTCAAGCACCACCCTCCTTCTAAAGCTTCCAGTCTGTTATTCTAACTCAATCAGCATGACAGAGTGAGCTCCAGCCTTGTCCTCGTCAACACTCTCTCCTGTGTTAACGAGAGAATCACTGACATGATGTCAGCTGGTCCTTTTGTGGCAGGGCTGAAATGCAGTGGAAATGTTTTTTGGGGATTAAGTTCATTTTCATGGCAAAGAGGGACTTTGCAATGAATTGCAATTCATCTGATCACTTTTCATGACATTCTGGAGTATATGCAAATTGCCATCATAAAAACTGAGGCAGCAGACTTTGTGAAAATTAATATTTGTGTCATTCTCAAAACTGAATGTACATATACAGGTGAGAAAATTAATACTGTATCTCTTATTGTTACACTTTAGAGACCTAACTCTATCTATCTATCTGAATTCTCTACAGGTGGCATACATGAGACTGTAATGTCAGAGGTCAAGAGCCATGGATCCACTCATCTTTCCTAGAGGGAGGACCGGAACAGTAGAGTACAGTGACTTATCTGTCTTAGGCTGTGTTCAAGAGGCATGTAAGGGAAAACCAAGTTCCTATTGACGAAGTTCAGGTAGTACGTACCTCTGTGTCGAGCATTTCCAAAAAGAACACTCATTTCGTTATACGTTTAAAGGTTTTTTTCAATTTGGACCTACTGAACATGACCCTGATAGCTGCTATTAAAATACTTATAACTAATCATTCCAATGGAATGTCTGAGTTATTGACCTGCCCAGATTAAATAGTGAATCTGACTAACATGCCTGTTGAAGTGCATGTTTTTTAAACGGGGTGGGGGGGGTAAATAATGTATTGTGTCATTTTGGAGTCACTTTTATTGTAAATAAGAATAGAATATGTTTCTAAACACTTCTACAGTAATGTGGATGCTACCATGATTATGGATAATCCTGAATGAATTGTGAATAATGATGAGTGAAAAAGTTAGATGCACAAATATCATACCCCCAAGACATGCTAACCTCTCAACATTACAATAATGGGAGGTTAGCATTTTTTTGGGGGGGTATGATATTTGTGTGTCTGTAACTTTCTCACTCATCATTATTTACGATTCATTCAGCAATCACGGTAGCATCCACATTCATGCAGAAGTGTTTAGAAACATTCTATTCTAAATGACACAATACATTATTTACCATTAATTTCTATTGGGCACAAAATCATCTGAAACACAACCAAAACAAACAGCAAATGCATCCAACAAATGTGTAGGCACAAGCTTGATGTAGTCATTGCATGCTATGAATATGGGACCAAATACTTAACTTTTTACTACTTTAATACACATACAAGTGAATTTGTCCCAATACTTTTGCTCCCCTAAAATGGGGGGGGGGGGCTATGTACAAAAAGTGCTGTACTTTTTAAACGGTTCACCCAATATGGATGAAAATACCCTCAAATTAAAGCTGACAGTCTGTACTTTAACTTCCATGGTCATTGTTTGATTTCAAATTGCTTCACTGTCCCAATAATTACGGAGGGCACTGTATGTAACCTCTGTGACAGGCGGTAACATTGTTGTTTTCTTTTCAAAAAGTCTCACGGAAATCAAGGCCTTTCATTTTACCTCTCTTTACCCACTTTTCCTCGCCACAATACCTGCTACTGTGTGAGAGGAAATCAGCTGACAGCACCATTCTAATAACTCTGCTATAATGACTTTCTTTACCAGAGAACTAGTAATTATATGGTTGCTTATGAGATCTAGCGCTCCAGAGTTTTCTGAATGTCAGCTAGCTGAACTTTAATTACAAATACTTCCTTAGATTAATGTACACTAGAAACTCACCCAGCTTTAAAAGTAGATGACAACATATATTTGATGCAGAATATTGTTTTATAACTCCGTTAGACTCAAGGAAAGCCAGTGTAATCCAGTTTCATTTGGAGTATTTGGATGTTCTGTTACAGTGGGTCTATAAACCGATAATAGGACACAACTATTGTGCATCCCCATAGGCTATAAGGAGGTCATTGTTGGTAGCAACTGGACACAGAATAGCAATGAAGTGGAACAGGGTCTGCCCTATTAACAATAAGGGAAGAGTTATATTCAGCATCACTTAATGTCTATAGTGAGCAAGCTAAAGGGTCATGGTTTGAGTACCACGAGCTGAGCTTCATGAAAAACTAAGGTACCCAAATGTACTGATATATATTTTTTTTGCGCTCTATTTTGGGGCTTTTCAGACCGATCTCGTCTATCATGGTTTTGTGAACAAGGTGGGCTATCTGCTTAACCAATATTCGGACACAACTATAATGAATCCCAACACAGGTACAATATACAGGGGGTCATTGTTGGTAGCTGTACAACAGCAAGAAACTGTAACAGGGTCTGCCCTAGCTGACGTAGATGCAGAGTTCGACCAGCTTGTAACTCTCTGTAGTAAGCAAGATTAAAGGTAGACCTTAACAGTACTTATACTGGGGGGAACGGAGCTTCTCAACACGGATCCAACAGAAAGAACACATTTATCAAGCTGTATTCCTGGATATTTCTTTGCTGTCTCTGTTTTGGCGCTATTCAGGCCTAACCCTCTCCATCATTGTTTTGTGAACAAGACAAGCTATCTGCGTAGGTTATGTAGCAGACAACGAGAGACGATTCAGAATTGTGTCTTTGCCAACATAAGGTGCCTAACGTTATTTTTACAAGCTCCCCAGGAGATGTACAGTGGGTAGAACAAGTATTTGATACACTGCCGATTTTGCAGGATATCCTACTTACAAAGTATGTAGAGGTCTGTAATTTTTATCATAGGTACACTTCAACTGTGAGAGACGGAATCTAAAACAAAAATCCAGAAAATCACATTGTATGATTTTTAAGTAATTGATTTGCATTTTATTGCATGACATAAGTATTTGATACATCAGAAAAGCAGAATTTAATATTTGGTACAGAAACCTTTGTTTGCAATTACAGAGATCATACGTTTCCTGTAGGTCTTGACCAGGTTTGCACACACTGCAGCAGGGATTTTGACCCACTCCTCCATACATACCTTCTCCAGATCCTTCAGGTTTCGGAGCTGTCGCTGGGCAATACGGACTTTCAGCTCCCTCCAAAGATTTTCTATTGGGTTCAGGTCTGGAGACTGGCTAGGCCACTCCAGGACCTTGAGATGCTTCTTACGGAGCCACTCCTTAGTTGCCCTGGCTGTGTGTTTCGGGTCGTTGTCATGCTGGAAGACCCAGCCATGACCCATCTTCAATGCTCTTACTGAGGGAAGGAGGTTGTTGGCCAAGATCTCGCGATACATGGCCCCATCCATCCTCCCCTCAATACGGTGCAGTCGTCCTGTCCCCTTTGCAGAAAAGCCTCCCCAAAGAATTATGTTTCCACCTCCATGCTTCACGGTTGGGATGGTGTTCTTGGGGTTGTACTCATCCTTCTTCTTCCTCCAAACACCGCGAGTGGAGTTTAGACCAAAAAGCTCTATTTTTGTCTCATTAGACCACATTACCTTCTCCCATTCCTCCTCTGGATCATCCAGATGGTCATTGACAAACTTCAGACGGGCCTGGACATGCGCTGGCTTGAGCAGGGGGACCTTGCGTGCACTGCAGGATTTTAATCCATGATGGCGTAGTGTGTTACTAATGGTTTTCTTTGAGACTGTGGTCCCAGCTCTCTTCAGGTCATTGACCAGGTCCTGCCGTGTAGTTCTGGGCTGATCCCTCACCTTCCTCATGATTATTGATGCCCAACGGGGTGAGATCTTGCATGGAGCCCCAGACCGAGGGTGATTGACCGTCATCTTGAACTTCTTCCATTTTCTAATAATTGCGCCAACAGTTGTTGCCTTCTCACCAAGCTGCTTGCCTATTGTCCTGTAGCCCATCCCAGCCTTGTGCAGGTCTACAATTTTATCCCTGATGTCCTTACACAGCTCTCTGGTCTTGGCCATTGTGGAGAGGTTGGAGTCTGTTTGATTGAGTGTGTAGACAGGTGTCTTTTATACAGGTAACAAGTTCAAACAGGTGCAGTTAATACAGGTAATGAGTGGAGAACAGGAGTGCTTCTTAAAGAAAAACTAACAGGTCTGTGAGCCGGAATTCTTACTGGTTGGTAGGTGATCAAATCCTTATGTCATGCAATAAAATGCAAATTAATTACTTAAAAATCATACAATGTGATTTTCTGGATTTTTGTTTTAGATTCCGTCTCTCACAGTTGAAGTGTACCTATGATAAAAATGACAGACCTCTACATGCTTTGTAAGTAGGAAAACCTGCAAAATCGGCAGTGTATCAAATACTTGTTCTCCCCACTGTAGATTCCTCTGGTTTGCCTGCCTGGATATGCCATGTGCTGATGCGGCAACTGACAATTACTTTTAAAAAATACAAAGGCTCATTGTGCTCACTGAGGCGGCAAAGCAGAGAGTGAATTGGCTAATTAAATATATCCAGTGTTGAACAGTCAAGAGGGTCTCGGCTCCCTTTCCAGCCCTTGTCATATGAGAGTAAATTATGTGAGCTCTAAATAACCCATCAGCATGAACCGAAGCAGACTGAGTGGGAAGAGGTACTGGAAGAGTTGCCCTTGTTCTGAAGACACACACACACGACAAATACATCAACAGTGTTTATTGTTCGGAATCACTGCGTTTCATATCCTTGGGGAGATGCTGTCTTTCATTCCCCTCGTCTTTTCTCAAAGAAAACAATGTGTCAAATAAAAAATAATATCCTCCAAGGTGACGTTGGGCATTGTGCTGCTCATTAGTCGACTCATCTAGTTGTCTTTAGAGAAATGCACAACTGCGAAAAACATTATTTTAATTTTCGGTAATAATATTCTTCCTATTTCGACCTATGATTTGGACATTGAAAATGTGTTGCATGGGAGATTAGGCACACACCACTTCTGGAGAACACACACACACACCAATTTAAGAAAGTGGACCCATTCAAACTCATTCAGGTATGGAATGCATTAACACATTTTATAGACATTTCTCCCCATCCACACTTACTCTCTGAAGTTCTCATTGCCTACAAAACAGACACAGTAGGCCAGTTTCCCGGACACAGATTAAGCCCAATCCTGGACTAAGACACATTTTCAATGGAGACAGATTTTTAAATGTTTTTCATCTGTGTCTGGGAAACCGGCCCAGTGAGTATAAGACACTTATACCCCATTTTACTCTCTAACCCCTGCACATTTTTCAGTTTTCTCCCAACTCCCATTGTAGATAGTCAATTATTAGATAACATCACATACGTATGGATGGACCCATTCAGAGCTCTCAGATATCAATTTCAGATTGGATGTTCCAGGCATGTGCCCAAATGAATTCGTTCTGTATTATTTTTAGATTAACTGGGACGGGTGGTGTGTGAGATTACATGTGACCTGTGTAAATGGGTAGATCCATTGGTATAAGGTCAGAGGAACCAAGCTCCTACCTCATTTCTTTTAGTCAATGAGGCATCGGATAGAGTAGTCAACCAGGCCTAATGTTTTGTCTGCCCAAGTGCATCTTCAAGCTCATTCCCCCTACAAATGATTCCTGAACCTTTGATATTCTCTCTTTGTGAATCAGTGTCGTTACTGTGGTTACGAGATATGGGTAAAAAAGGGAAGATATCGAAAGCAGGTGGAATTAATATAATAGCCTCCTTTGCTGTAGGGCACCCCAAGATAATATTGCCACCTTTTATTTCTCTCTTTCCTCCCTCCGAGCATGTGCTGACCAACTGGCAAGTGTCTTCACCGACATTTTCAACATGTCCCTGACTGAGTCTGTAATACCAACATGTTTCAAGCAGACCACCATAGTC